ATAAAGAAACACCTGTTAAGTGAACATTGAATATTTAAATCAAAAATTGTCCCTAATCGAGGTCATCTAACGGATGGACGATTGATGACCGCCATAGATTAGTGTGTAGTATGATTTACAACACCGTTTCTTGTGCTGCGAGGACGTGACAGTCATAAATCATTTGCACAGGTACAGTTTGGAACTGTACTGGATAAGACCTATGAAAGTACTTTAAGAAATTTCAAAATTATCATAAGTACATTTCTCATTATGACTATCGGAACCTGTTTCCTCCGACCATGAGTATTGTGAAGTTTTCTTATTCGAGTACTAGACTCTTTGATGTTTCCTAACGTCTGCCGTAACTGGGGATCATAACGGGAACACTCGGGAGACTAAGTCCTCTTATTAAGAGGAACTTACAATGCAAGACTGAGATTGTCCCCCTATTAACAATAGGGAAAATGTTTTGTTGTTTACAAGGCCGCTCGAAGAGCGAGACTGTGAAAATGCATAGCCGTGCTCAGCTGGATTTTAGAAATCATCTGCTTATTGACAGTCGAACTCGGAGATCGAGAAACACTTCTGAATGTAATAAGGATGACGATGAATCTTACCTTATAGTTCACGAAGAAACATTAAGAGACATAGGAAATGGGCTATACATTGTATGCACACTTGTCCGGAAGGACAAGTGGGAGATTGAAAGGAATGGTGTCCTTCCAACAAGTGTATTCTTCCGATAAAGGGTTCAGAATTATCACAGAGTTCATTCTTCAGTAAGATCAAGTGATCGGAATGCCTAGGTGGAGGCCGCTTCCGATAAGTAATATCGAGGTACAATTGATATTACAGCTTAATCTTAACTGAACCTTTCGGGTCGAACCCAATCGAATCACCGATCCAAGACGACGAATTAATCCAAAAGGATTTAATGAGTCGACAGAGTTTTACGAATACAGACGTCGGATATCGAGCCTAGGGCGTCGAGGCCGAGCGTCGCAAAATCACAAAGCGACAAGTATGAACATAGCCCTAGCACCACACTGGCCTAGCCATGTGGATGCTAGGCTAGTTCGAGCTAGCATGCACCTAGCACGGCTAGGCGCAAGCCTAAGCACACTAGGTGTGCTAGGCGCACCATCGCTGGCCTATCGCAAGCACTAGGCACACCAGGAGCACCTGGCAGCCTATCGCAAGCACCAGGCGCACCAGGCAGCCCATCGCAGCATGCGTGCTGGCTTACGTGCCAGCCTTCGCATGGCAGCACCAAGCAGCGCACCATGCGTGTGCGAGGGCCTGGGCGCCAGCACATTTCTAGGCCATGCACAGCAGCCCAGCATCGCTACGCACCAAGGCTACTAGGGGATGCGTGGGTGTGCGTGAGATGCTAGTGCATGTGCGTGTGCGAGAGGTGCTGCGAGGTTGATGCGTATGGTGTGAGGCAAGGGGCTAGCAAGGCAGTGCTAGCTGGTAGCACTAACTGGCAGCCAGCTAGCCCTCCTTGACCCGGTTTTGTGCATGCATGTGGGGACCAATCATGGGCCTTGGGGAGCAAGGCAAATGGTCCCCCCTCCTAGCCTTGGCCATCACTCATTTGCATATGATTGTGCCACTTGTCGCAATGTGATTAAGTTGATTATTTATTTAATTTGGAATTAAATAAATTGTTGATTTTTACCAACTCTCCCACATTGATGGGAGATTGGAAATCAAGGGTGCATTTCCCTATAAATACCAAAGGCATGGTATTGGGAAATACACAACCTTGAGTGGGATTAAAAAGGCAACTCTTATAATTAGAGTAAACCTTTGATCCGTAAAACTCATAGTTTTGTTTTGTCCGGGTCTTGACTAACCTTCAAAACTTGGGACGCTCGGGTCGGGTCGAGGGTACGATCCGTCGGAGATCTCGTAGTTTCGGGATTTTGAAGTAAGAGCTCTTCGGGAGCGAAGCACGCAAAAAAGGTATAATTCTTGTTCTGAGTCTTGCTTGATTAAGATTATTATGCTTGTTAATTGCTTAAATTAAGGGGCGGGTCTTGGGGGGTTTCCTTCCGCGTAGTGTCGGGTCACTACGAAACCCTACAGTTTCTGGTCGAATTGGTGGCGAATTTCACGTCCATAATCTAGTCATATTGAAGCCGATTTGCGGGTATTTCGCGTCCTTGATCAAGTTGTTTCTGGGCGTAATTCAGGCGGGTTGCTCGTTCATAATCGGCAGGTTCCATGTCTGATTTTCCGGTTATAATTCACCGGCAAAGCGCTTCGTTTTTAGGCGTGTATTGTGCAGTTTTCAGGCGTTTTTTGGTCGTATTGCAGGATGTTTCTGAGCGTGTATTTTGGGCGTGTTTTCGGCGTTCATTGTGCCAGCGAAGGGGTCCTTGATCTGGCGTTATTTTAGTGGCATTTGGGGGTGTATTTCAGGCGTAATTCAGTCCATTATCTCATCTTTTAAGGGCTAATTTGGGTGCTATTTTGGTGCGTTAGTGCTGCTGTTTTGGGTATTGTTTTCAAGCGATTTTTAAGGGTTGTTATAGGTGGCAACAACGTGTTTGCAGCGTCTTTTTGTACCTTCTGTTTCTGGTGCAATTTTTGTTACGGCAACGTTAGTTTGGTTGCTGTTTTTTTTTGGGTTGTTTCGTATAAGATTCTGTTGGTGGCCGTTGTGAAGTTTCATTGTCCCTTTGTGGGTCTTAGTGGCTGTCAAGATGGGAGTGGTAATGGCCTTACTAGAAGTTTTCTAATCAAGCATCTTAGTGATCGTCATTGTTGTATCGGTGCGCGAGATATCACTTGACATTCTCTTACTTCTAATTTGGCTGTTTATACTGAGGGGGAAGTTACTTTTTCGCGTATGGGGATTTAGTTATGTAGGGTTTGCTACAAAACACATACGCTTTGTTCTAAGTGTCGTCATAGTACAGGTGAGGACGTGTCACCCCCGGATGAAGGAGATGGTATTGTTTAGGCCTGAGCACGGATCGGATATCCGTATCCGAAAATCCGGATATTTGATATTCGTATCCGATCCGAAAATCCGGATATCCGAAATTTTCGGATCGGATAAGTCGGTTATCCTATATCCGATTTTTTTTAATTGCTGCTCATGATGAAACGGTGCCCCCTTAGCTACCGAACGACCTGACTCCCTCCTAACAGACGCATTCAAACGCCTTGATATTGCATGACGAGCACCCGAACCCTCAATCTACATTAAATAAGTACAAAATCAAATATCAGTAATAGTTACAAATATAACTATGATATTAAAGTTGACCAACTAATATTCAAAATCAAAAAAATAATTTCAAAAAAAAAAATATTTATTACAACTAACAATAATAATAATAATTATAAACCACAAATTTCGCAACATACTACTACTAACAACAACAACAACAACAACAACAACAACAACAACAACAACAACAACAACAACAACAACAACAACAACAACACAACAATAATAATAATAATATAATAATAATAACAACAACAACAACAATAATAATAATAATAATAATAATAATAATAATATCTCGGCTCCCCACTAATTTCTTGTAAATCATTTGACTTTGTAGGTTTTTGTTATAATAATAATAATAATAATAATAATAATAATAATAATAATAATAATAATAATAATAATAATAATAATAATAATAATAATAAACAAAAACAACAACAACAACAACAATAATAATAATATTCCCAACATACTACTAACAATATTACAAAAAAACAACAACAATAATAATGATAACAACAACAACAATAATAATAATAATAATAATAACAATAACAATAACAATAACAATAACAATAACAATAACAATGGGGATTTGGTTATGTCTGACATTATGAGTAATCCTAGTGAAGTCGCTGCCCCTAAACTCATGAAGAAATTGGCAGATATATATTTCACGAAGGTTACCGCTTCTGCAGAATCCGCCTATTCTTTGTCTCCTCGGCAATCAGCATTGTGGAAATCGCAACAGGGAGATCACACCTCTGCTTGGCTTCAGGCAGTCCCTATTTCTGGGTTGGGTCAGACGATGAACCCAAAGATCTACCGATGTGTGTTGTGCTACAGGATGGGTGTTCCATTGTTCTCTATCTCGACGTCGTGCTCTGCTTGTTCTCGGGTTTTTACTGGGGATATTTTCGGTGATCACGCGGTGTCGTGTGCTGGTATTGTGGGTATTAAACATCGGCATAATGTTTTCCGGGATACCCTTGTTGATATCTGCTACAAATCTGGGATTTCGGCAAGAAAGGAGGTTGACATAGGGTTGTCTGGAGGGAATGACGGGGCCCTTAGACCTGCTGATGTGTTACTTTATTCCTGGGATCGTGGTCGCGATGTTTGTGTGGACTTAACAGGGTCTTCTTCTTTGACACAAACAGGGCTATCTGACTTTGTCCCTGGGCGGGTTGTGGCGGATGCGGCTCATCGGAAGTGGGTGAAGTATGAAGCTAGTTGTCGGCTGATTGGTTATGGTTTCATTCCCTTCTCCTTTTCTTCGCTTGGGGAATTAGAGAAGGAGGTTGTTGCGTTGCTGAAGCGGGTTAAGAGGTTCTCGACGACGCAAGACATTGGGGCTCGTGCTGCAGCTTATATCTTCACCAGGGTAGGTTTTGCTATAGCTAGAGGAGTGGGGGCCCAGATTGTATCTCGGCTTCCCACTAATTTATTGTAGGTTGTATAACTTTGTCTGTTTTTGAGATGATAATAATAATAATAATAATAATAATAATAATAATAATATTCTCAACAATAATAATAACAACAACAACAATGATAATAATAGTAATAATAATCCTAATATTAATAACATTACTAATAATAATAATATTAATCGGTTATTAAAAAAATAATAATCACGAAAAAAAAAATTTAAGCACGAAAAAAAAAAAATAATGACGAAAAAAAAAATTCGAAATTTGGGACATCCGCCTGAAATTTCCAGAAGTCCCAAGGAGGATCTGGAAATTTCATGCGGATGTCCCAAATTTCGAATTCTTTTTTTCTTTCCAATTTGAACCACAAAATTTCCGAAAACTAACCTGTTCGCCGCCTCCAATGGTGCCGCCACGACCACCGTACGTCACCCTGATTCGCTACGGGTCCACCATCGCCAGATTTCTTCTACCCTCCTTGGATTGGTGGTGGGTTGTGGGTGTTTTTCTTTTGAATTTTCTGTTTTTTTTTTTTTTTACAAATTTCTGATTTTTTAATTTTAGGAGAGATTTTTAGAGAGATAAAATTTTAGAGAGAGAAGTATGATATCGTGAAATGTGTCGTGAGTGAGTGTCGCGAGTATTTATATACGAGGGGGTAAATACGGAATTTTATGTAAAAAATACGAACGATGTCTAGTAAATTGGGAGCGACATTTAACTGACCCCAAATTATATATTCCATTGAATATATAATTTGGGGCGAATTTCGTTCTTTCTGAGCTTTCTATATTCCATTGAAGTAGTTTCCGAGGTAAGATGTTTTTTTTTTTTTTTTTTTTTAGATCACCGATTTTAATTTCATTAATTTTATACAGTATAGTCAATTTAGGGTTCTTCACATTCTGAAAATTATATAGCAAAATTAGTTCAATTTGTTGTAAATTCATCAAGATCTTGCTAAAATTTGAAGTTTGCTCGTTTAATTTGGTGAATTTTGTTCGGATTTCTTCTGCAATGACTCTCAATTATTCGCTCGAGATGCAAATCGAGTTCAAAATAGGTATAATTGCGATGTATGATTGTGAATTATGTGTTGTTTAATTGTACCAGGATAAATCGAATCATTTCCTATCAATTTGTAGCTTAAATTTGCAAGTTCGTAAACAATTTGTTGCAAAATTCTCAATTTAATTGATGCATATTCAGTCTAAATAAGATTTTAGGTTTGTTTTTGAATCATTCAATTTAACTTATGATGTTGGAGTTAGATTTTTTTATAGTATGGTTATGTTGATTTCCTCAAAAAATATATACACAGATCGATCTTAAGGGTTTGGCAAAGGTAAATTCAAGATTTTTAGCTGAACAGGTATTAAGTTATCTTAATTTTTTTATATTATCCAATATTTCCTGCTTACATGTGCTAGAATTGGACAATTACTGTTTTGTGTTGCTTTATCGATTTCAAAAGTAAATAGAAATCAAATAAAGGTAAATAAATTATATTCTAAAGTAAAGCAAATAAAAAAACTTCAACTATGATTCATAATATATGAGCAATGAGAGAAATGTTGGTTGTGTTTGCTGTATGCAATTTCAGTGTTGTGCAATAGAATTCTACTAATTTAGTAAGAGCTGATAATCCAAGTTTTGACAATCTAAGACAAATGGAGATTAGGAATCTTTGCTAAGTTTTCAGGGCACTTATTCAAGCAATGAAGTCGTGTTGAGAATGGTGTTGGGGGTTTATATATCTTCAATTTGTCTTATGATATATTATTTAGTATGTAATGTGGGTATGTTACAGCACTTACAAGCACCTTCATATTACAATAATCAATGTGGCATTGTTCCTTCAGGAACAACGAGATTAACGCAACTGTAAATGAGATCGTTGTAGGAGTGCTTTGAGGACGAGTATTACATATGCTCCATTCTGTTACCTATCTATATGTAATACTGAATTTGTAGTGTATTAGGTACTTGAGATTTTGATTATTTTTGTAGGTTAGCATTAGTTTGAGACTGATGGTGTTGGTGGTTTGGTTGTATCTTTAGGCAAGGAAAATTGTATAATAGAAAATGGAACTAGATAAGGGTGCTTCAGTGGATGATATACGAAAGAAGATTGCCAAAGAGAGAAAAACTAAGGTTGCAAAACAGCTGGAGAAAAAAAGCTATTTTTCTGCTGAAAGGATTCAGTGTCAGAATAGGGATCTGATGCAGATTATTAATAAATATGCTGCTGAACCATTGAAAAAAGTATCCACAAAAACGACAGAACCAAAAACCTAATCTATAGTTGAGCTTTTTGCTGAGGCAAAGGAAGCTCAAGATGGCAGTCTTAATTAAAAAAAAAAAAAAAAAAAAAAATTCAGCTTGCTGACAAGCAACTTCTGGTGAGTGAATGGTTTTATCTCCAAAATTTCCAAGGAACTTATTACTTCTGTGGGAAATTAATGACACTGACAAATTCTTTTTCATTCTAAGGTACTTGTGATTAAACTTGGTGATAAGACAAAGCTATGTCTAGTGACAGATTTCATGGAGCCCGAACTATGAATTGGTATCGGAGTCTGAATCGACCCCATCGGAGTTACACAGCTAGTTAGCAGTAAGGTCAGTAACACCAGGGAGATCACCTTTTTAGGCACTAAAAATAGATACTGAAAAGGTGGAAATTATGCTTCTCTGAAAAAGATTGTGTGCTTCTCTGATTGTAGTGTTTGAGATTTTTGCTTAAAAGAAAACACTGAACAGAAGTAGGTGTAACTATAGCTTTGTGCTCAAGGTTATGTGCTGTTGTGCTAGTTATCTTATCAATCATTGTTAAAAACCAAAAGAAATTTTGATCTATTTTCAGTTCCAGAATATACACAATAGTAAATTAAATTGGCCATGAATAAGCAAACAAATTTTTTTTTTAAAGTAAACTAGATATCCTTAGAAGTAAACGAAATTGCTCCCAAAGTAGATAATTTTTTTTACTTGAAGCTTAGAAATTGCCAACTAGAGTTCATGGGATGTAGCTCTGTATAATACATAGGTTTGACAGGGGTAGTTGCTGGTTATGTTGTTGATTGTGCAATTGTAGCCATTTGTACGTGTGGAAAATTTGTGCTCATAGCCGCTTTCTGAATGTGTGTTTGTGCGTATGTTTGTGCCAGATACTTTCTAAATGTAGTGGGTGTAGCGGGATAGCAATATAAAACCTATAAGCTATAGAGCACTATGCGAATGCATAGTGGTGTTGATTCAAGTCCTACATAGGTTGTATCTTAAAGTAAATAGGAAACACTCTAAAATAAATAGAAAAATCTTTAAAGTAGTTCAACAAATTTATAATGTAGTATGAACATTTGTGACAGCTTTTAAGATGTTTTTGTTTACTTTTGAGATGTTTTTATTTATTTTATGTATTTTTTTTTTTACTTTTGTCAAAAATGATCATACTACATTGTAAAAAAAAAAAAAAAAAACCTTAATGTAAACCTATTACCTCAAGTGGTAGAGCACTATGCATATGCATAGAAGTGTAGGTTCAACTCCTACATAGGTTAACTCTACATTCGAATGTTGTTCAAAATTCCTTAAAAGTAAATCAAAATTACACAAAAAGTAAATCAAATTAGCTCTAAGGTATAACCGTATAAGAACAATTAATTGGCTTTTAATTGTTGGAGTAATAATACTTGTAATGCAAATCGGAGTGTTGCTAAGAGAGTGTTCTTACCCTCTAGCAATGTTGTGTGCAAGGAGCTAGCCAGAGAGCTATAGCTCTCAAGGCAAAAGAGTTGCGGCAAGGCCGAGCTATAGCTCGGATGACAGCTTGGCTTGCAGCACATGCGAGCGAGCGATAGGTCGCTGCTGGGTGAGCAAGAGCTCGTTGCTGTTGTTGCTTGCGGAAGGGCGAGCGAGTGCTCGAGCTATAGCTCGTTGCACATGTTGCTTGAACACTACTAGAAATAGGCCGATTTTCGACGGACACGTATTTTCGTCGGAAAAATCAGAAATTCCGACGGATTTTTATTCCGTAGGAAATCTGACGGAATATAAATCCGTCGAACAATATGGGCTTTCCGACGGAATATTCCGTCGGAATATAATAATAAAAAAAAACAACCCTTAAAACCCTAAACAACCGTCCCTCCCCCTTTATTTCATCAGTTTTCTTTCTCTCTCCTTCTACTGATTCTCTCTCCTCCTTTCTCATTTCATCTTTTCTCTCTCCTCCTCCTCCTCCTCCTCCTCTTCCTCTCTCCTTCTCCTTCTCTTCCTCTACGCCCCTTCTCTTCTTTTTCTCTCCTCCTTCTCTTCTTCTACGCCCCTCCTCCTCTCTCGTTCTTCTTCTCTTTTCGTCATTTTCGCCGACACCACCAATGCCGACATCAACAACAACAAACACCACCGTTTTCATAGTCATTTTCACCATCAACAACAACAAACACCACCATTTTCGCCATCAACATCAACAACACAAGGTTTTCAAGTCAAATTCGACCATGTAAACTCTAGATCTAGAATTTTCACGGTCGAATTTGGCTTCGTAAACCCAAATTCGTCCGCAAGCGATAGCTCAGTCGCTTGTGGGCTTAGCGTGGAGGCCTTGTTTGCTTCATTTATATCCTTTCTTTGTACACATATATAAACTCTTCTAAGCCCTCAAATTGAGAGATACAATTTTGTTATCTTTGAAACCCAAAACACATAAACACAAACCTACTCTTTGAGATCTAAACAGTTTTCGAGTAATTCCACTCTTCAGGTTCGGGTACACGAATTACGAGGAGACTTGTGTTAACATTGGGAGGGCGTGCATCATCAGGAAACCTGTACCGGTGGTGGCGTATTTCGCTTCTAATGCAGTATTTTTGTTCTGCGGCACAACTGTATTATTGAGATCTTCTATCAAGTTTTTCCCCTTTCATCCTCTCTATTTTATTATTGGAATTGACAGCTATTTTACTAACATTAATGATTAATGAATAACGACTATGAAAATTTTGTTATATCATAAGAACTTTGAGTCATTGATGTTCTATATCCTACAAGATGAGTCAAGTTATAAGAAAGTACATGTAGCTTTTTCATGTCAAAAGTAACTAAAAAATCACCAAAAGTAAATAAAAAAGGAAGTCATAAATTTCAAGAGTATGTATAATGAGATCATTAAAAGTTATAAATGAGCATAGAAATAGAAGTAAATGACACAATCCAAATAACAAAGAACTATATAGGTTGAGGTTCAACTATTAAAGAATTTCAAATTAAAAGTAATATCATTGTACAAAAAGTAAATAAATTTATTTTTGGTTAGAAAACCTATTAAACACAAAAAATAATAAAATAAGGAATTATAGTTATAGTTTCAGCTAATAAAAGTATATTTTTTCCTGTCTTGCACTCTAATAAACGATACATATATACTTTGCTCGTTGTATTATCCAATTTTATTTCTCACACATGTGGGACAGCTGACCAAGATAGTGGCAGCATGCTTTCTTTAATTTGAGGGAGTTTTGCATTGCCTTATATACATTTGAGGGAAATCTAAGTTTCTAACACTCTTCTGTGGCAGCATGCTATCAGCAAGAGACCTATCTCCACTTAGTGAAAAATCACGCCTAAGAAGACACCTATACAAGTAACAAAGTTAGAACTTGTCAACTTTGCATATTGGAATGATCTCTTAGATGTCAATCAGACCAAGAACAACGGATACGATTATAGAAAAGTATGGCATTTGGGATATACTTGAACAAAGGTGTAATCACCAAAAGAGTGAATAGTACTACGAAGCACATCACAATGTTGGAGGCTGATGTCTGACAACCAGCCATGTAATTCACAGCACAGCTAACAAATCCTTCTTCATATGAGCAAATCTAGCTAGGTGCTATTAAAAGCGGGGATAAATTGCAACAAGTGATAATAAACATGATATTCTGTAATTAATAATGTTGATATATCCAAAACCTTCACCTGTTCATTTTGATGAACTGGCGTGATGTTTGTTGATCAAAACTCATTTTGAACTGAAAATTACGAAGAATTTCTCTGAATCAATTTTGACCTGTGTCAATGAGTCATCTACATTTGTGTCTCTTAGCTACCATTTCTTGGTTTCCATCCACCTCATAGCCTCTTATATCTGCAAATTTCTCCCAAATGCTAGTGCTTCCTAAAAAGGTTGGAAGACATGCTAACTATACAAAAATTAATTTGTATATGAAACTTACTGCTAGTGCAATTACACATACAATAGCACCAACTTTGAACCTTTATGTACCTACATGTGGGTAAATCAAAATATCTGTAAAGTAAATCAAAATAACTCAAATCGAAATGAACCTACGTGGGATTCGAACCCACATCTTTGTGTATTTGCACAATGCTCTACCTATTGAGCTAGTAGGCTATCATGATAAGAATAATTAGCCAACACAGTTGATAACTTTCAATTTCCTTATAAAATTAGATGAAAATTTTTGAAGTACAGAAAGAAAATACCAAAGTAAACAATAAATACTCAAAAGTAAACTAATCTATAGCATTTGTTAAAGCATTCAAATTCTTTTGCAGTTGAAGAAGTTTAGAAGCCATACCACCACTTTGACAGGTAAAACTAAGACCTGATAATTTCTTCTTCCGAAGCATCTCCGCAAGCTCTCCTTTATATACACTACCTGTCCCATGGAGTAAAGAACCAATAAAAAAAATGTATACCCATTCTAATAATGCACCATTGCAAAGTTGAGAGTCTTGAGACACAACAGAAAACATCAGAATAATCTTTGGAATATTGTTGCTCCAGTATACCTCATACCTGTGTGATAAGCACAACATTTTGGCCAAGTAAAGGACTAACATTGCTATCATAGAATGACAAACACACCACTGGAACACCACTTATCTTCTTTCATACACACGCAACTACAACCAATTCAATGGCACACAACAGCACACTCTTGTTCCCTGACTGCAGATAGTCACACCAATCACACAACGCTCAAGCCATAACAAAACTTCGCAACACCCCAACTACTTCTGCTCCACCCAAAAACAGCCCCACATAGTTACTCCCTACGGAGCCAAAACAAAACCAAGTCACCCTCACCTCAATACCTCATTACAACCTTACACACCCACAACCCTTTAAATCCCCTACTCTTTTAACCCACGGCAACCCAACAACAAAACAGCAACACAAATTCACATATTAAGTAAAAAACAAAACAAAAATAGCAAAAAAAAAAAAAAACCAAAACAAAACCAGAAAAGAGAATTGGCTAATCAAGTAAAAACCGCAATTAAAATTAATGCACATGCAACAATCAAAATTCACAAATCAATCAAGCAAAAAATAGCAAAAAAAAACCCCAAATTTTCGACTATTTAATCTGTTTACAAAATGCAAAAACACAAATTAATCAAACATAAAATAGCAAAATACCCTAAATTCAAATTTGAATTAATTGTAACCAAATCGAGCAAACTTAAACTGAATTGAGCAAATTCAACACACTAATAAATTGAAATTTTCATACCTTAACAGAAAAACGCGAGAAATTGATGAACAAAAGAGAAGAAATCGAACAGCGAAGAAAAAATATCAAAACTTAAAAACCCACAACTAATTAAATCAAAAAGACAAAAAAATCAATAACTTACTTGTTCAGATTTAATAGAAGACGAATATTCAAGAACAAATTAAGGAAATTTGATTTGCGAAGAACAAGAAGAAAAAGAGAGGAGAGAGAAAGCATGAAGAAACGGTGGATATGTCTCGGTAGTCATTCGAAGAGAGTAATTTCCTACAATACTAATTTACCAAAATACCATTACTAAGTAAAAAACGCGGACAGCATCTTAGTCGTTGGATCAAATGAATTAAGGGCTTAGGTAGTTCTTATTATTCACCCTGGTTCTCACATTTTTCATATAAAAATCTCCTTTATATAAGAACTCATCTGAGCTGTAGGATGAGATTAAATGAACCGTTGAAATTGCCCTTAGTATAATGGCATTTTTGTAATATCATGTTTTTATACTCCCTTTTTCATCTTCCTCTTTCACGTTTTATGAACCCCAAAATTTTCTCTCTCCTAATTTTCCAATCTTTCTCTCTTCTATTTTTCATGTGATTCTGCCGTAAATCATTATAAGTTTATCAATTTGATCAAATTTCTTTGTATATTTCGATTATTTTGGACGTATGGTTTCTTAGCATTTGTTTATTTTTCAAATTTCGATTATTTATGTTGATTATTTATGCTGAGTTTGCAATTATTTTGCAAAATAATTAGTTTCTTTTGCCATATTTTCAATTTTCTGGTGTTTTTTTTGCAAGATTTTTTTGATTACTTTTCAGTTTCTTTTAATTGCAATTATTTTGCTAAATTTGTGTTCGATATTTTAGCCGAAAATCTTTGTATTTTTACAGATCTTTTCTACAAAATTGAGATTATCATCAATTTTTTCGATTATTATTGGTACTTGTTTTATTATTGCGATTATGATTGCTAATTTGGATTATTAATGTGATTATCAGCCTCATATCGAAATTCTTAGCTAATGTTTGTGTTCAATTGTGATAATGTGTTCTATTAATTTATTTTATTCGAATTTTGTTCCCGTTTCAATCACTACTTTCAACTATCTGTTGCTTGGAAGATGTTCTGAAAAGCGTCACACAAATTTGACATATGTGCTTGTCATGTAAAAGGCTGCATACATATCTGCTTGTCATTGTAAAAATGTCTCCAGCACTTGAGTAATTTTTACATGTATAATTCTAATAAATTATGCATCTCTAATTTTCTAAGAATGTGCTTTATGTTTCACTGGTCCAATTATTTTTGTGATTTTTAATTGTTCAATTTAACTTGCTTGGGTTTTGTTTGAGGAGAGAGAGCATTAATTAGAACATAAGCAGATTTTTCAGAAAAACAACATTAGTAGAAAATATGGTGAATTATTTATCTTTGTAATTGTACAAGTAAGATGACATGCACTTAATTAAATATCCTCAATCCCTAAAGTTTGTCCTGCATAGGAGCTTTGTCAATGGTTAGACATAATTGGACTAATGCCATCAATCCATCATGCTAGGTTGGAATTGCCTCACTTCCCGTATATGTCTATGTCTCTAAGAGACTGAACCTTGACTACTGCCTACTCCATAAGAGTCTTGAGTTTTAGTTGAACTACCAAAAAGAGATATATTACATTTGTACACACCTGCAATTCATTGTAAAATTGAAAGTTCCATGTAGTTTGAAAATAGTTTCCAGGTCACTTTTATAAGGAAAGCAGTATGATTTGCAACTACTTAGGAGGCGTTTGGTTAGTGTATCTTTTGGATTGAAAACGGATTCGATTAAACCGATACCATTACCGTGCGTTTGGTTTGAAGGCATGATAACAATTACCATTACCTAAGGGTAATGGTTACCCCTCATTTGTTACCTCTCAAAAACTTGGGGTAACAAATACCCTTACCCTCCTCTTAACAAATACCCTTTTCATGGTTAAACCAAACAAATGAAAAAGTAATAGCTAAATGATTCTTTTTCCCCCTCTTATTTGTTTCCTTTCCACTCCATTTCCATTTTCCGAACCAAACACCCCCTTAGTACTTTTAGGTTTGACATCTAATTCCTAAAACTAATCTACTCTTCCATGGTGGCTAGCATGTCACTTCCTAGCACATGCCCTAGGATCGGCCACAGAAATGCATAAGCCATGCAGTTCACTCTAATTTTGCCCCTGTATATATGCAAATTTGTTTATGGAGCTGTGTAGACTGTGTAATCCTTTGATTAGCAACTAATGATGACATCAAAAATGAGTTCAAGTAGTAAGAATGTAAGTTCGTTGAATTCTACATTGTTGGTTTACTAGAGAGTATTGTAACTTGTGCAATAGCTTCCGAAAACTTTTGTTAGAACGAGTGGCCTAGAATATATATTATATTGTGACATTAAGCTCATAGATAGAGAAGGTATGGCTTGGAAAGTACATCTAAATTACTAAAAATATGATGATTAGGCCTATATCAGGGGAGGCTGGAAACAATTCCAGGCTGTTAATAGTCTCAGAGAGCATATGTTTCAGCTCCTCAAGTGTGGACGGTGGCCTATCATAAAATGCTATAGTAATATTACCTTCATTAGATCTTATTGTAGTTTATCATGTTGCACTCTTAATTACATAAATTTCTTTGGTTAATGAGAGGACTGAATATAAAATAGATAGAAAGAGTCGGGGATATGATGCAAAAATTTACTTTTGAGATTTTTATTTACTTCTTTTGTAACCTTTCCTTAGTTTGAATGTTTTTATATACATTAACCTACTAGCTCAACGGCTAGAGCATTTTGCAAATGCACAAACGATGTGGGTTCGAATTCCACGTAAGTTCATTTGTGAAATGTGGAGACGAGGGTTTTATATAAGAGTTTAGCTATAGCACGCATAGCTTCCATAGTACTTAATCATATAGAGCCAATTTTTTGTTTATATAACTTGGTGTTAATTTGATTACTTTTATGATTTTTTTAGTAGTTATTTTTAAAGATAATCTACGTAGAATTTGAACCTACATCCTCTATGCATTTGCATAATGCTCTATCCACTTGAGCTAATAGGTTTTAGCATACCTAACAATAACCCTATATTCTAAATTATTTTTCTTATGGTTTGATTATTTTCCCTATGTTCTAAACTTTTCTGCCTATATTCTAAAGTTTTCTGCATATGTCCTAATTTATTTTGCCTATGTTCTAAAGTTTCCTGCCTATGTTCTAAATTATTTTTCCTATGTTCTAAATTTTTTTACATATGTTCTAAAGATTTTTGCTTATGTTCTAAATTATTTTTCTTATATTCTAAATTTTTTTCCTACGTTCTAATTTTTTTAAGTTCTTAATTTATTTTCCTATGTTGTTTTCTGCCTATGTTCTAAATTATTTTTCCTATGTCCTAAAATATTTTTGCTTATGTTCTAAAGTTTTCTACCTATGTTCTAAATTATTTTTCCTATGTTTTAAAGTTTTCTACCTATGTTCTAAATTATTTTTCTTATGTTCTAAATTCTTTCCTATGTTCTAAATTTTTTTCCTATGTTCTAATTTTTTCCTATGTTCTAAACATGTGTTATAAATGTATGATTTAAATTTTTATTCTACATGTTCTAAATTTTTTCAGCCTATATATGTTCTAAATTTTTGTCTATGCTCTAAATTATCCTATATTCTAAATTTATTTTTCCTATGTTATAAATTAATATCTTATGTTCAGATATTTTTTTTCGTCCTATCTTCTAAATTTTTTCCTATGATAAA